AGTCAACTAAATGAAAAAAAATAAATCAACTGGTCTCTAAATTATATCATATATATATATATATATATATATATACATACATATATATATAATTTGGGGGGTGGGTATTAGGGGCACTTAATCACTGAGTCACATCTCTAGCTCCTTTTATTTTGAGACAGAATCTCTCTAAATTGCTTAGGGCCTCAATAAATTGCTGAGGCTAGTTTTGAAATTACAATCCTCCTGCCTCAGGCTTCCTAGTAGCTGGGACTACCAGTGTGCTAGGGATTTCTTTTTCTTTTTTGCAGTGTTGGGGATGGAACCCAGGCTCTCACCCATGATTGGCAAGTGCTCTATCACTGAGCTAAACCCTATCCTCTTGGGATTGTTTTCTTGTGTTTGAAGCTAGGAATTGAACCTGGAGCCCTGCACAAGCTAAGCAAGCACTCTATCATTGAGCTACATTTCCCAGCCCAGGATTCCATTCTACTCGTGCTTGCCTAGCATGCACAAAGCCTTAGGTTCAATCCCCAGCAGTGTGAACACACACACATATAAAAAAGAAAAGAAAATGAAATTGGGCTTGGTACTTATTTTTTGCATACTACCTTTCTTCTGTCCTAGAGGGACTCCTGGAAGCCCAGAGAGAAACAATAACAATAACAATACAGGCATCAAGGAAGAAACAGCATCCAGGTCTACTTATGTTTAAGGTGTTACTTGTTCACATCTAAGAGGGTTTCAAATTAACCATAGTTCCTGATGGTTTATTCTGTATTTTGCAAAGACCTGGGAGAAGATTCTGGGCAAATGCAAAAGTTCTAGAAGAAAAATCAGGAGGGAGCAAGAGTGACTAGGAATCTCAAACTCTAGGCATCCCCTGGGCAGAAGTACTGAGTAGGTTCAACCTGGGCTCTGCTCTCAGGGGCCTCTGAGACTCATGTACTTCCTCCCAAGGCTGCCTTTCTCTTTGCTGGCTGCTTCTGGTTTTAGCCAATTTCTTTTCTCATAATCCTTGTAATTTTCACCCACTAACCATAGTTCTGCCCTTTGGGTCTACAGGGAACAGGTAAGCTCTAGCCATGCAAGGCCTTATTCTGTCTCTCTAAACTGCCACTATTTTCTCTTTGGGCCTTTAACATCCTTTTTGCCTGGAATATTCTCTTGCATTTTTGCATGGTGGGTTTCTTCTTTACCATTTAAGCATTTAGTTTAAATGTAACCTCCTCAGAGAGGCCTTTTGTGACCATCCAACCCAAATAAAATTCCTTTATCATTTATCACCATCTGATATATTACTTTTAAAATTATTTAGCCATTATATATAAACTCCAAGAAGGCAGGGATTTTTGTGTTTATTTCCTGTTATCCACCAGGCAAACTTATCCTTTAGTTGCAACAAGCACAATGCTGAAGGCCTGTGATAGTTTTAAGGACTCATGAAATGTTTTCATTTCTTCTAAAGTAGAAGAAAAAATAAATACAACCAAATCTGAATGGTATTTATCTTTATATCAATGCTATTGTTTGTTTGTTTTTTTTTTTAGTGAAGGAAGAGGACTAAGAAGGCAAAATTTTAGCGACCATAATTCATAATACACCCCTGGCTGTATCCTCAGCTCCCAAAATAATGCCTGGCACTTAGTAGGTATCTCAATAAAAAAATTGTTGAACTAATAAATGCCACTTCTGTCCTGAGACAGCCTTTGCCCTTTTTGGGAGGAAAACACTGGGGATGAGACCCAGGGCTTTATATGCTAGGCAAGTGCTCTACCACTAGGATACATCTCCAGTCCTTTTTATTTTTTGGTACCAGGTATTGAGCCCAGGACTGCTTAACCACTGAGCTGCATTCCCAGCCCTTTTTATTATTTTTTATTTTGAGACAGGATCTTGCTAAGTTGCTTTAGGCCTTGCTAAATTGCTGAGACTGGCCTCACATTTGAAATCCCCCTGCCTTAGCCTCTTGTGCAGCCAGGAACCTCTCCATCTTTTGACATGGAAAATAACTAACACTTGAGTTTAGTCTTTGAGCTAATCAGCCTAAACACACCATAGTTTCCTTATGTTATGTAAGATGAGCTAGAAGGAGCTTCACAAAAGCCATCCAAACATCTCTAATTAGATTTGGAAAAACCAAATCCTGGGCTAGGGATGCAGCTCAGTGGTAAAGCACTTGCCTAGAATGTTTGAGCCCTGGGTTTATTCCCCAGCACTACCAAAACAACAACAAAAAAGTCCTAGTACCTAATCTACCTTAACTAAGAACTAAGAGGAAATACTACCCCAAAGTGAGGCATCATAATGATTGATTATAAGATCTAACTTTTGGCTGGGCACAGTAGCACGTGCTGGAGGATTACAAGTTCAAGGTCAGTCTTGGCACTTAGCAAGACCCTGTCTCAAAAGAAAATACAGAGCTGGGACCCAGGCCCAGTGCACACTTGTAATCCCACTGGCTCAGGAGGCTAAGGAAAGAAGATCGTAAATTCAAAGCCAGTCTCAGTAATTTATCAAGGCCCTAACCAACTTAGTGAGACCCTGTCTCAAAATAAAAAATAAAAAAGGACTGGGGATGTGGCTCAGTAGTGGAGCACTCCCAGATTCAAACCCCAGGTTTCCTCACCCCCCACACAAAAATAGCTTCAGCTTTTGAAGCAGATGAACTGGAATTCAAATCCTAGTTCTGTCACTTGTTGTGTGGCTTTATACAAATGCTTTAATCTCTCTGAGTCAATTTTCTCCCTCATTTATAAAAGGGAGGTGGCTAGGAAAAAAAATTAATCTGGTCTGGAAGGCGTTCTACACAGTACCTGTCACATACAGAATGCTATGAAATGTTAGGTCAAGAGAAGGTGTACAGGGGCTGGGATTGTGGTTCAGCAGTAGTGCACTTGCCTGGCATGTGTGAGGCACTGGGTTCAATTCTCAGCACTGCATATAAATAAATGAAATAAACGTCTATCAACAACTAAAAAAAATTTTAAAAAAGAGAAGGTGTACAGTCTTTTGTCAGAATGAGTCAGGCATAAAGAATGTTAGAGAACAGGGAGCTGGCAGGGCAGAGTGGTGTATGCCTGTAATCCCAGCAGTTTGGGAAACTGAGGCAAGAGGACTGCAAGTTTGAGGCCAGTCTCGACAATTTAGTGAGGCCTAGGCAACTTAGCCAGACTCTGTTTCAAAATAAAAATAAAAAGGTCTGGGGATGTGGCTCAATAGGAAAATACCCCTGGATTCAATCCCCAGTACCCTCTCCCCACAAAGAGAGAACAAGGTGCTGGGTACTATATTAGATGACTAAGGTTGATAACATAGTTTTTGCTTAATCAACATTCAATTCCCTTTTTCTGGTCATGGTACCTCAGTTCTCCTCTGGGCAACCAGTACATGGGGTTCAGAAAGGCTGGCCCCATCTTTCCCTTCTAGGAGGGAGCACAGATAGAATCAAGTTCCAGCCAAGAAAACTGACAGTGAGTAATTCAGGGCTAGGGTCAGAACCCCTGGTCTGGCCAACCAGAGTCAATCAATTTTTGAAAGAGGCTCTCTATGCTGGGTTGTCAAACTGGCAAGATATGGACCTGAGCTGCTGGAAAGCATCTGCCCTCCCAAAGGGAGGGCCTGCTTGAGAAGGAAGACAATAAGAACAAGAGCAGAGCTGCAAGGCAGATTTCTGGCAACATCATTTAACCCCCTATCCTGCAACAGCCAAGCCTAGTATCTCTGAATTTTTTGTTTAAATTATCCAATAAATCCCCCTTTATGTTTAAGCCAGTTTTAGCTGGTTTTCTGTTCAATGCAACTAAGAGTCTTTATTAATACAAGGACCTCACATTTAGAGAGGGGTTAAAAAAAAAAGACTGAATTGTTGGTCATCTCTGGGATTCCGGGAGGAATGGGCAGCGAGATAGGCATTCTTCATTTTCTTCATGGTGCTACTTCTGAGCACAGTACCTAAGTAGAGAACCTGAACAAAGGAGATGCTTAATTTTGGAGTTAATGAATGAATGAATGAAGATAGATAAATAGAAAGTCATTAGGGGAGGCAGGCAGTGTGGTGCACACCTGTAATCCCAGCAATTTGGAAGGCTGAGGCAGGAGAATTATAAGTTCAAGACCAGCCTCAGAAAATTAATGAGGCCCTAAGCAATTTAGTGAGAACCTGTCTCAAAATAAAAAATAAAAATGGGCTGGGGATGTATCTCAGTGGCAAAGCACCCCTGGGTTAAACCCCTAGGACCCTTCCCCCGTCCAAAAAAAAAAAAAAAGTCATTAGGGAAGACCATAGGAGATAAAATGAACTCAGGCCATTTTTCTTTTTGGGGGTACTAGGCACTACAGCCAGGGCACTCAATACTGAGCCACATTCCCAGTCTT